GATGCCCCCCGGCCCCGCTGGCAGCAGCCTGCAGAACCGCCTGATTCTGCTTTCTGTCCCCAAGGGATTAAAAGGATCCTGCCCCATCAGATGACGACTGCCGGGCCGGTGCTTGGGGAGGAGAGGCGCTCGGATGAGTTCTTTGACTCGCTGGATCACGTCATTGACATCCACGGGCACATCATCGGCATGGGCCTCTCCCCGGACCACAGGTGAGCGTGGCGGGGAGGTGGCGCTGGCTTCAGACGCTGCAGGGGGTGGGCGGCAGCAGCTCAGGGGCTTTGTGGGGTGAGCAGGAGGAGGAGCAACTGCAGCGGATGGAGCAGGGAGCCTCCCCAGGCAGCTCTGCTCTTTCACATCCCATTTATGTCCTAGTGCTGAGGGCCGGTGTTACCACCTGAGCATCTCTGCAGATCTCGGCAAAAAAAAACCACTGCTGAGCGCGGTTCAGGGCAGGAGCGTTGTGAGAGTGAAGGAGCTGCTGACAGCAGGGTCTTGTTCCCGACGCAGATCAATACACCACCATTCTTAGAGCTGGTTTTAATGGGATTAAAGAGGCTTGACCTAGCTCTAGGGCCCCCCTTCCCAGTTGTGGTGGCCCTTTCCATTCCAGACATGGTAAGAAGTGTTTAAGCCATGTGTTCCCATGTTTCAGCCTGGATTTTAGTGAGCTGAGCTGCAGGCTTGCTAAGGAGCAGAGAAGCTGCTTGGTCCCTGCCCTGCCTGGCTGAGCTGTGCATTTAGAGCTGCGGCTCCGTGAGCTTCATTGCGTGCCGCGAGGTGCAGGGTGACCCCTCCGCTTCCGTTCCCAAGGTACCTGTACGTGAACAGCCGTGCATGGCCTCGGGACTGCGTCATTTCCGACCCCATGCAGCCACCCCCCATCGCCGAGGAGATCGATCTGCACGTGTTCGACCTGAAGACAATGAAGGAAGTGAAGAGAGCCCTCCGCGCGCACCGCGCCTACACGCCCAACGAGGAGTGCTTCTTCATCTTCCTGGATGTCAGCAGGGACTTCGTGGCAAGGTGTGTGGCGACGGGCGGGGGTGGGCAGGATCCTGACCCTGCACCCAGCAGGGCCGTGGGGCTGGCGCTGGGGGACGGCTTGTGCTGGTCCCTGTGCTGGAAACTCCCCCGTGGTGTGAGCAGAGCAGGAAATAGGGGGTTTATAAAGAGCAGAGGGACTGAAGCAGAGGGTGCTGATAAAGGCTGTCTGCCCTGGTCCTGCTGTGAAATCGGTGAGGAAAGGGGAAATTTTGGGCTGTGGCATGTTTGTCAGTGGGTGGCAAATGCCCTTCTTGGGGGCTGCAGGTGCTGTGGGGTGAGGTGAAGGGGTCCTTCAAACAGCCTCTGGAGCCCCGCGGGAACTGGCCTGCCTGGGGTGATGGGGCTGCAGATGGATCCAAGGCTTTGGGCAACCTGGGCTAGTGGGAGGTGTCCCTGCCCATGGCAGGGGGTGGCACTGGGTGGGCTTTAAGGTCCCTCCCAACCCAAACTGTTCTGTGATTCTGTGGAGGCTGGGGCCTGCCCTGGCTCCATCTGTGCGGGAGGAAGGCGGTTGGGAGTGGCAGGTTATCGAGGCTGCTGGGCTGGCGTCCTTACCAGTGTCTCATCCACTGCAGCGGGGCAGAGGATCGTCATGGCTACATCTGGGACCGGCACTATAACATCTGCCTGGCCAAACTGCAGCACGACAACGTGGTCAACTCGGTGGCGTTCAGCCCGGTGGAGCAGGAGCTGCTGCTGACAGCCAGCGACGACACCACCATCAAGGTGTGGCGCTCCCCTCGCACCGTGCGCATCCAGCAGGCCAAGAAGCCCAGGCCCAGGAAACTGCTCTTCTCCTGGCTCATGAACCAGAAAAGCTGAACCCAGGCACACCTGCTCCTGCAGCTTCCTCACTGCAGCCACCTCCTCTGGAGCTTGCAGAGCTCTGAGCCCTGCACAACAGAGACGAGCTCTGGGCGCATGAATCCCATCTGCCGAGTCAGGAGGGACCCTGCTAGCGGAAATGGCTTCCTCCGTGGAGCATCTGCTTCAAAGATAAAACGTAAGAGCCGAGAGCCTGTTCCTGGGCCCGGCGGGCGGCAACCCGAGTTGGTCACACTGCAGGGTAGGCTCCCCACAGCTTCTCACCAATGCTGCTACTTGGTCACAGCACTCTCTGGGTGAGCTTCGGCCTCCAAGAACAGACGGAGGCACGTCTCCAGTGTTTGTACTGTGTGAGCCTGGGACACGGCTGAGCTCCCCAAGAGCTACCGGCTGCAGAGCACTTGGCAGAAGCCACGGTGCTGTGCTGCCTTACTGCAGAACTCTTTTAATGTAGTAGTTTTATTAATGTTTGTTTGTCCCAGACCTCCATGGGCAGCTCGTCTGGCTGCTGGGTGATGCCAAGTGCCTCCTGCCACATGGCGTCTTGGCCCGAGGGCGGCAGTGATGGGAGGGAGGCAGCGGGAGAGGCAGGGCTGGGGGGGCCTGGCTGGTGTCTCGTGCGGCCCGCGGGGGCGCAGCCAGTGCCCCGTTGATGCCTTCTGTTAGCAGCTACATGTTGATATCACCAGTTTCCAAACTTGAGAGTGGGGAGGGCTGGTGGTAGCATGGTGCTGGCTTTGCCTCTGTCTTCCTCTGCTGAGTAGCACTTCAGTAAGCCGTGGCACTGGGAAGGTATTTATTCTAGGGGATCAGCTGCCCCTGCCCGAGGGGTTGTGTGAGGATGGCTGTGGGTCTCCTGCTCACCTCCCTCCCCTGCTACTCAATTGGGTTCTCTCGGTATGTGTTCTGCAGGCACCCACAGGTGGCTGCAGGTATTCACCCACAGGTGACGTGGGAACGCAGCCCTCCTCTGCCTGAAGTGACAGTTGAATAAGCTTCCTTCCGCCTGGGCTGACTTGCTGTGGTTTGGTGCTCGGCTCCTCCTGGGGACCCCCGGACGGTGGAGCTGGCTCACTTGAAGCGATTACGAACTCGGTGGTGTTTACTCCGTATCTGTCCCTGGAGCTTTTCTCCCTCCAGCAGGTACCCAAATGTAAGAGTCTAAAATTAAGCTCCTAATCTGGGTTTGGCCTCGAGGGCTGGGGCCAGCAGTGACCCCAGGAGCTGCAGTTCCTCCTGGGAGCTGTGGCTGGAAGGGAGCCAGTGGCCCAGGCCAGGGCTGGAGAGGCATTTCAGGGCCCCCTGGGGAGCACTAGGGACAGTTGTCGGTGCCACTCACAGCCTTGGGTTGCAGGTAGACTTAACAGAGGCAGCAGAGACTGTCTCAACGTGCACTGATGGCTTTAACAGCTCCTGTGACCCTTGGCAGGAGGGTTTGTCCCTCGTTCTGCTGTGCCCCAGCAGGTGCCCATGGCTTTATCCAAAACCCCTGTACTCAGGTTTTCTGTCACCATCGGACTTCCACCAACAAGGGAGTTCTTTGTGTGTGTGCACGCAGGACGCACGTCCAGCTCTGTCCAGTCACACAGCAAAGGCACAGCCTCTGCCTTCCTCCTCCTCCTCCAAGATTGTGAAATCTCTTCTCCCTGGGCTCGGTGTAGTAGTAAGCAAGGCACTGAGGGTTTATGTTTGTACCGAGTTTGGCTCTTCACTATGGCGTTGAATAAATATTCTGCTAAAGCATCTCTGCAATGCGAGTTTGTTTTTCTGAGTGCAGTTCCCAGAAGCGTCATCTGTGCAGAACTGAAGCCAGAAGTGGCATAGGCTGTGCCTGCACCCGCTGGGGTGCTGCAGAAGTCGCTGACCCACTTCAAGTTACCTGCCCTGAGCTGTGGGGTGCAGGCAGCACACTGTAAAACTCCAGGAGCAGGGGTGAGAGGCAGAGAATCGCATGAATCTTTCCCCTCAGGGAGGACCAGACAGCCCTGCAGGAGGGGAGGAGCAGTTCCTGGCAGTCTCGGGCCAAGGCTGAGCGCTGCAGGCTCGAGGACAGCTCCAGGGGCTGGAGCATCCTGCCTTGTGTGTCCCTCCTTGGTTTTTAGTTTTTCCAAGGGCTAACAGGCACTGCCCAGGTAAGTGGGGAGCAAGCACAGCGCCTGGCCCTGTGCTGCTGGTAGGAATTCCTGTGCTACGGCAGCAGCCTCATGAGCTGCAGCTCCAGTGTCCCCTTCCAGCCTTTTGCCACCTTCGGGGTGCATCTGGCAGCAGCTGCACCTGCTCTGGAGGGGACGGGCCCCCTCGCCTACCCTGCTGTTTGTCTCTTGCACAGATGCACAAGCAGAGGCAGCCCTGCTGCTGCTCCCCAGCGTGGGTTCAGTCCCTCGGCTGGTGCTACAGCTCTGGAGGGACAGGACAGGGCCTCCTGCAGGGACGGCAGGAGCAGGGCAGGCACTTGGCTCCTGCCAACAGCTAAAACCAGCCTGTCCTGGAGCTCAGCACCACCTTTAGTATCCAGCACCCGTTGTTCTTCAG